AGCCAAATCAACAGAGAAATGTGTGTGCATGCAAACATGGCTCCCATTACTCACCCCACTGGACTGATTACTGTGTAGCAGCATCCCAGTCAGCTCCTTCAGTGACTCTTCTACACATCTCATTAGCTCCACAGATGCCAGCCTCCGAGAGCAGATGAGGTCCATTGCCTGGGCTGCGACCTGGCAGGCCTGCTGGACGAAGTCACAAGGACCCAGTGGAGGGGGATCCCTGCAGGCCGTCACCACCGAGTCGAGAAGCTGGCACACAGAGTCCACCAACACTGACCTTGTATCCCCATCGGGGCTGAACCACAGAGCATCCAGACCTCTCCCGTTTCCTGCCACTCGGTGCAGGGCACAAAGTGACTGGAGGAAGTGCACATGTGGAGCCACTGGTTTTCCCCAAGGCCTGGCAGGGAAACTGCAGGGCACTGGCGGCTGAGGAGAGGCGATGGCAGGCTGGGGGTCCCGTTCAAAGAGTTCAGGAGTCTCTGAGTCAGAGAGTAGTTGAAGGTCTGCGCTGTGCACCACGCTTCCTGATCCAAACAGATCCTCTGAAACATTGTCCACTGTGGTGTCATGATCTGCAGGAGTTTACATAGACACAGAAAAAATTCAGGTTTCCAACAAGGAGCTGAAGCTAAACTACACACATTTCCTAAATGCAGGACAAAGCAGCTGCACACATTCAGCAAGAGAACTTGTCAGTTTTGAGGTACTTGTGCTTTACTATATTTCCCTTTCCTGGTACTTTATACTTCTGCTCCACTACGATTCACAGATATATACTTTTTACTTTTCTTTGAACATTGCTACAAGCCACAAGACTCATGCAGCAGAAGTCAAATGGTAACTGAAGGTGAGGAGGTCACTGAAACCAGGTCAGGGGCATACAGGGGCTCTGGCACAGGAGGGACAAAACACATTCAGTAAAGGCTGAGGCAACAAATCTGAATCATCACATTAACTATCACTCATAACGACAATACTTATACTATGACCATTAAAGTATGTGATTACAGTCATCTTTGTCCCGTATGATCACTGTCACTACGGAGAGCCGTTTTCTACCAGATTTTACCATGGACCTTGAATGTCACAAACATGAACAGTGTTTATATTCTGGTCTCTGCTTCATCCCTGTTACGCCTCTAATTCTTTTGTCTCGCATCATCATAAATGTCAAGCCACCGCACTTCTTATTTTAGAGGAAATTTGAGCTAGATGATAATTTCACATTTTGTGTTCAAGTGACTTTGCCTGCCAGTAAATTGTGTTTGCTGTGATGCCAGGAAAACGCTGAGGCCAGATCCAGTTAGGGGTGGGAAACTGAGACCCGTTTCCTCCATTTTCATTTAAATAAACATATTTAAAAAGTCAATGACAGGTTTTTCAGATAAACATATGTGAAGGTAAATAAACATTTTCCAGTTTTATCCAAGACAGTGACCCTGTGTTGTATTTTATGTCCCCAAAACTCAGAATCGGGGGGTTTCAACTCATAACTCTGAACTGGTGGACGTCGGCCATAGCTTCCACAGCCTGTCCGCTAAACATCTCCGCTCAGCTCTTGGGCTGTTAGATTTAGGAGGACAAGTGTTTTCCTCAGAACAAATGCTGCCATAAAGGTAATATTTACAACTACCTGTATGTGTGGCTTCTAAATGGAGCACAGGGTGGCCACAAAAAAACATAACTTCTACTGGGAAACAGTGCCACCTGTTCCCATGAAATGGGTGATATCATTTAAAACTGCCATGATACTTTGCAATGCAAGGTCTTCACTGGCGAACTGGAAAGACGAACAAGAAGTGAGAGAGGAACCATTTCCATCACGGTTACAGCTGTATACACCACTAATCCCTAGTGGTGTCATTAGATGATCATTAAACATGGCCTGGGAACTGAATACAGAGATATGGATGTCAGGTTAAGCCGTCTGATAGAGCCCTGGGGATATACTAAAGTCACACACAAAGACATTTTCAAATTAACATCACTATCCATAGCAAGCCTGACTGAGTATTTAAGACTTTTGTGAATGAAGTTTAAGGCTTTTTTTTTTTTAATGCTGCAGAAACCCTGTAGAAAGAATAGTCCAGCCAGCTCTTATCTCAACCCCTTTGTCACATAGCCCAGCTCCTCCCAGACTTACTGGCCCCGACTCTCCTGTCTGTAACATGCACACTGACCTATCAGCCTCATTCATGAGCATCTCATTCATAATCCTTAGCAACCCTGTGTCCTTGAGATTACTTGGACTGTGCCGAATGCCAGTTTTTGGGCTCCAGATATTTGGTGGTAATAATCAGTGAACATTTGAATATTTGCCCCGGGGAGGAACGTGCTGATGCTGTGCTACAGCTAGAAGTACCTCTTTACCCATCTGGCAGTAGTTTTGGCTATAAAAAAATGAAAAATGAATAACAGATGACAGCTCTTTATAACCACTCGAATGTGCTACATTTCCATCACTGATGTGAGACCTACTGATAGTTTTACCTGTGACGACATCTGTTGGAGTTGGTGGAACTACAGGGAAACACTCAGTTCAGTCTGATTACTCAGTGGCGTTGCAGAGTGATGCCTCTTCACCTCATAAACAATCTTTGGCAACCAGCTGACTGCAGTGTCTGTTTCTTTGCAGTCTGCAGCGAGGTCACAGACCCGACATCAGAGTTTCATTTTGTCCCGTCATCAGTTTAAGTCATGGAGTTAACGTGACAGGGGATTGAATATTCAAATACTAAATTTGATGACCTAGCCAACAAACAAATATCCAAATACTCGTGTCCAGTCCTTGAAATCACCCTTTCCTCACACTAAAGGCATCAGCAAAGACACATTCTCTGCCCATATATTTTTACAAATTGTCTGCACTTTTAGCCCTGCGATGGATTGGCGACCTGTCCAGGGTGTACCCCGCCTTTGCCTGATTGTGGGCCGGGATTGCCCCCCCGTGACCCCGTTCAGGGACTAAGCGGTAGAAAATGAATGAATGAATGAATGAATGTCTGCACTTTTTCCCCCCCACACAAACTCGCCTTTGTCAGAAGCTCTGCAGGTCACTCGAGGAATCGTTCTGAAACATTGACTTTTCAAGGGTGAAAAAGTTTGGCAAACTAACACATTCTGATAGATACAACAGTTGTCCTTAACAGGCCAAACTCTCAGTAGCAACAGAAACTGCTGCTGCTGTTTTCACTGTAAATGACTGCTATGCATGCTGTCTTTAGTAACCCACGTGCATGCAGAGAGGCCTACCTGCTGCTACTGCGCTGCTCTTTGCTTCTGACGTCACTCTGATGATCAGCATCTCCTGGCGCAGCCTCAGCACCTCCTGCTGCAGCCCCTGGGCTTTCTGCTTCCAGCTTTCATCCTGGCTCTTCAGCTCACGGGACAAAGCCTCAGCGTGCTCTCGGCCACTCGCACCCGGAGGTGTACTCTTTATCACAGCCACCGCCAGGGCGAGCTGGGCTCTCATTAAAAACCATTTGGCTTGACTTGCGCCTGTCAAGAGGACAAATCGTTGGGATGTCAACCATTGTGACAGTTCAACATTTTAGGCAGGAATACTCAGGTAAGAAGTTAAAAGAAGTCTGCTGCCAGTCTTGTCTGATTTAGTTGCTTCTAGGGCTGCAGCTCATGATTATTTGTATTTCTAATTAATCTGCTGATTGCCTTCTTAATGGTTCAGTCTATAAAATGTCAGTAAAACTATGACAAACCTCCTCCAGACATGGTGTTGTCAGGCCTCTTGTTTTCTCTGACTGTCCATCTATTCTGTTTACTTTTCACTGTGAAAAGGGCCGAGCTGAAACCACCAAACATTTGGCACATCAGCTTTATAAAATAACTAAAAATGCTTATTATCTGTGTAGCTACCGATTAATTTTCTGTCAGTCAATGTACTGACTACTGCAGATTCTGTCTGTGATTCATCTTTCCAGTTTGGGTCAGTTTCTACTCGAGATGAAAGGAGTAATCTGACAACAGAAAATTCATCAAGAACGTTTTTGACAATGGATTAACTGTATAAGCTATATTTTAAACAAAAATACCAAATGATCCAGAATCTGATCATCTCTGTTTGTAGAGTTTGCCATTTTCCTGTCTGTTCAATTTTGCTGAACTAGATTCAAAGAACCGAATTAGTAAAATGATCCGAACTTCCCATCACTAGTGACATGACCGCTTTGTCAGTAATACTGAGCTCATGCGATGTTGCGCATGCGCGGTCAACACAAAATGAACGAATCACTCCCGAAACGACCCGATGTTCTCGAGTTATGGGAAAGATTCTAACGAATCGTTCGTGAACGACACATCACTAGCGGTTGAATAGGCTACTAGGTCACATTCATACAAACACATTATTTGACATGAAACAGTTTTCAGTGTATCTCCAATCTATAAATTTGTCGTGCCCTTAGTATGTGAGCGTATGTAGCAAAATTTCGAAGTGATACGAGTTTTATTTCGAGTACGTCACCGCTGATTTGCTCCTTTGCGTGCAGCTAAACTAAGCTAGCGCTGTTAGCTTAACCCAACCGCTACTGCCGTTAGCGTCTGTGTTTTCAGAAGCCGTTTATAATATGACAAACAGTCTGGGAACAACAGTGCAACAGAAAACAACACTCGGCTTTAAATACATCTACGGAAACCTGCTCCTAGCCGTAACCGTGGCTATGCTAGCTAAACAACATTACAACAACATTACAACAACACAGCTGGCGCTTAGTGTCTATTGATTGCAACGTTCGTCAAACGGCTCTTTAACACTTTATACACACATTTCCGCTTCGCATTGTTCACGTCAAGTGTCAAACTTATTGATTACCTTTCGACAGGCCCTGTTCACTCTGCATTGCTCGGGGCCTCTTCTCCTCAAACCTTCCATAGAGGTTGTCAGCGCCGATTTGGCATCACAGCGCGCCGCTACCTGAAGGCGGCCACGGGGACAGCTGCTGGATGACTAAACCAGCACAGCATCCAAACGTGTACGATCATCTGATTCATTTATGCAAACTGGAGACTAAAACATGTGCTTTTTAAAACAAAAAAGGGTCGAATGATTAAAATATGTATAGTAGTTTCTTATTAGCCATTTAATTTGGGATATTTTCATTTATTTTATTTTGCTCCTTTGTGATTTCAATAACAGTTATAAAATGTAATGGATAATCAGATGAAATAATGAGCTAAAAGTAATAGAAACGTTCATATAGTCTGGTAAAATCATAAATAAGTGGTCAAAATAGTTAATAAAAGCAATGGACAGATGGCTAATATAGTTAGCTAAAAGTAGGCTAATGGATAAAGGTTGACACCCAGCAGTGGGCTGGACTGGGACCAAATCAACAGTTGACCTGGATGAATCAATATTATAACAATATTGGCTTTTTGTAGTGTTACTCGACATCCACTTTAAAACCTTTTGAAATGGAAACAACAGAAAGAAGAGAAAGTAATACATCTGCACAAGACAACACAGCAAATCAAGTCAAGGTTATTGATAAAGTCTAGTCACAGACCAGTCCTGGATTTTATATATATATATATTTTATCCACAACAAATCCTTCAAAAAGGTAAAAAGGAAGAAGACTCAGGAGGCGCTCCACAAGACGATCCCTCAGGCAACAGGTATCAGAGCATAGAACAAAAATAGTGACATCTGAATTCTGAGAAGCAGAAATAAACAGGTAGTTCATGTTTGGGGAAGGCACAGAGGGACTTCTAGGTGCTGTAGGAAAGATACACACAGGAGGCAAAACACACTGGATACTTGAAGTGTATTTTGATGGAAATTCACCTTTTACTTCTCTGTATACTTATGCAATCGCTTGTTTTAGGGGGACCACAGTCGGTCAATGTGATGTAAATCTATGCACCAGCAGTATAAACAGCTCTTTGGCTACAAACTGTGATATGTTTTTATTCCCAGATAGGATTCCCTCACCAAACTATGGTTTTGTGGTGTCATGTACAAACTATAACATCACACTGCATGGACATGGGCTGCAGCAAAGCTTGCGCCCAGAGAAATATCTTTTGGCTAAATAAATTTCAAGGTGTCTGCTGAAACAGCCCGACCAGTTCTCCTTCATCTGGAGGAGCAGCAGCTCGATGCAGACGCCCCTCACACTCTCACTGAGATGAAGGCCAGACACCTTTACAAGGAAACTCATTTCAGTGTCCATGATGTGCCTCCCTCAGCCAGAGCAGAGCCGGCACCCAGGTGAAGGGTAGCAGAAACGTCACCTCTGCTCTGTGACTCAGCTCTAATATCAGCAGCAAAACACCTGCTAGAGCGGCACAGTGCAGACGTAATGTGGATCTAGTGAGGGTGAAATGAAGTGTGATCAATGATTTATGTAGGAAATCTCACTTTGATTGTACCTGCCGGACCCTGAGTGTGGATATTGCTGCTGAAAGGAAAGAAAGCAGACTATGCCTTGAAAGTTAATAAGGTGCTAAAAGGTTTAGAATTCAGGGAACAACCAAACCACTGCAGGATACGCCGAGCTCCTCCTGCTCTTCTTAGCATTAGCATACCTGTAAATTGATGGTCACAGTCCTAGTGTGTTATTTGAAGGTCAGAACACAAAAGGACAGACACCTGGCGACAGTGATAGCTCGCAGGACCGATGGTGAACTGCTGTAGCTAGCAGGCTAGCCCTCAGGAAGAACAGCTCCAGGAGACCGCTCTCTGCTGTTCTGCTTACTTTCCCATGACATTATGTCCACTGAAGCTCATCATCAAGCTTGTTAGCCGATTAACAGGACAATAAATCTACATGTTTTATTCAAAACATGTAGCATCAATTCATGTCTTGCAAACCAATGATCTTCTGTGGAACAGCTTTTACTCTGACAGGGAAAAGTGAAATGTGCACACAGTGAAGCTTCTTGGCTCTCCAGACCCTTAGAGGTCAGCACTGTTAATATCTTTGTGCTGTTCAAGCATGGCAAAATTCACCAGAGCTGATCTCTACACAGAACATGTGTGCAGACTAACTTCAGCTTCTCACAGAGAGCCCCTGATAGCACAGATTCCAGTGAGATTTCAACACAAGCCCAGCTGAACATGATAGGAACATAAGTAGTGGTGTTCGTTTTCAGGCAAAGTTCAACCTGATGATGTTAGGCTAAAGTTAAAGGATCGCCTACAGTAAATCATTTCTGGTCATCTTGAGGGGGCATGAAGGCCTGTGCCAAGTTCTCTCCAGCATAAATCAAGATATGTCACTCAAAAGTCATCAAAAGTGAGATTGGTCCCTTGGAACAAATGTAATGGTAATCCATGGGATAGTTGTTGAGATATTTCAGTCTGAACCACAGCGATGCACTGAGGTTTCCAACATGACACTATGGCTAAAAACAAGTAGCATGTGACAATTAAACCTGCACACACAAACACAGTGTAACTCCACCACCCTGGCGTTTTAACAAAGCTTTGTGTTATCTGCTGTCTTACTCATACTTTCAGTTTCACTTGTAATGTTTGTTTTCACTTGGTGCTGCTCTGCGTAACCTCCAACAGAAAGGTGCTATTTAAACACTTAGCACTGATGCCAGTGTAGATGTTGGCTGTTACACGTCTCGTCTGAGTGAACGAGACTCTGTATATCTCATTTTATGTCTGAATAAATGCACGATGAGTAAAAGCAGCACAGGTGTTGTGCATCATCCCTGTGATGAATTGGGGTCACTGAATGAACTCGCACACTCTCGCTGCTCAGCTGCCTTCAGGTTGATTGCTTTGAAAATGGCTTTATGCATCAGAGCATCCTAACTATCTGACAAATATTTACTTGGCAGGCTCTTCATTTACTTTGAATATTAACAGTGTTTGAGAAACAAAAGGAATGCTGGGGTGGGTGGCTACGGGTTTAAAAGTGGGAGGATGCACAGACACATGGATGCAGACGTTTCTTAGCGTGCACCAACTTAGTAGCTTCACTGAGTGCAAACAAACATTTGGATAATTCCTCATTCATTTTCTAACAGTCCCTAATATGTCTCTGGAAAGACTGAGGTGAGTTAATGTCACTGCTGTTACAACAAGCGAGCTCCTAAGTGGACAAACAGGACAGCACCACTACAGACTCTGTCATAGCTACTGTGGCCACTAGAGGGCGCTGACACTGGAACGCAGACTGATGCTGCCCCTCACCACCGCTAGATTTCACTCATCCATAAAACGTAGGTTGTTATAATTTGCTAGGAAAAAAAACTAATGGGTTTGTTTCTATGCAGCAATGGAAGAAGTAATCAGAAATACCATAGTGTATAAATACTGTGTTACAAGTAAAAGCCGCGCATTCAAAATTAAAATTACAAAAGTATTAGGATCCAAATATAAGTAAAGTATCCAAAGTACCAGTACTCATCCAGCAGAACGGCCCATGTCCCAGTAATGTCTCTGATACTGGATCATAGTGACTAATTACTGTGTCCATCACTTTAATGCTGCAGCTGGTAAAGGTGGAGCTGATGGTAACTACCTTATATACTTATACTGGGAAGTACTTTCCATCCTGCTGGGTAGCTGGTGGATTTCCTACTGGGATCAATAGAGTCTGATGGTTCTACTGAGTTTGATTCATCTGATTCTGAAAAGGAACTGAAGTTATCAGGTACATGTAGTGCAGTAAAAAGTACACGGTTTGTCTGTGACCTGTAGTGAAGTCACAGTATGAAGCAGCAGGACATGGAAATACTCCATGACCTCCCACCAGTCTAAGGGTGGACAGCCTGGTCCGCTGACAGTCTGGCTGTGTTTCTCTCCTTCGCCCCTCAGAAAGCTGTAATCCAACATTAAAACCACACAGTGTGGGGAGAGTCTGAAGCTGCAGCCTCCTGAGCCCAGTTAAAGTAGGAGCTGAAGCTGCTCCACCCTCCAGTCTTCATTCATTAGTGTGTGTCAGAGAATAATGTGCCCTGTTAGCCTGCAGGCCTCTCTGTGGAGGCAGCCCTCGGGCTTTATGACCCAGCACTGGGCCTTCATAAGAGCACTTCACAGAGAGGGAGACGGGGGTGTGGGAAGAGAGGGGGAGAAACAGAGAGATCTGTACTGACACTGGTATGGGGGATGTATTTTTGAATGTTTTCATACTCATTCCTTATTCAAAAAATTACTGTGTATGTGTTTTAGTCTTTTTCCTCATTTTGCCTCAATATTTGATCAAAACTGTGAGGGAACCCGACCGGGTCAGAGGCTGATTGTTTCAGATAAGATGCCACTGAGGACAGAGGAGGCCATGTGCTCTATTTGTTTGTTTATTTATCAATCAATCAATCAATCAACTGAGGGTATTTTAAATGCTGAAAAATCGGACTACTCTTAATCCAGCACAAATGAATATGAGTGTTCAGTTTTCATCTTGGGAAACAGAGAAGGTCAAGTTTCATTTACTAGCTTTTTTCTGGGGCTTTCACCTGCAGCTTATGGTTTTCGCCGTCCCCCTGAGTGTTCAATAAAAGGCCATTTAAAATCTCTCTCTGTGTCACATTCTCACCCTGGTTTAGTTGGAGCTGGTGCTGAGCAAACTCCACTCACTGATGAAGACTGTGAGATGAAGCTGAAAGCTCAGGACGTAAGTGAATCATGAGTTAAGATTTTTTGTGTCTCAAAAGGAATAAATTCAGCTTTAATGCTGTATCTCTCCAGTATAAATGTGTTCCAGTGTGGAAGGCTCTGAAACAGCCTTTGGACCTTCATGTTCAAATCATGTTGACATGATCAAAAGCTCCAGAACATACTAAATGGACCGTGTGGCCGGACCGTCTGAACTCTGCACAGAAACGACCTTCGGACCTCGAGTTGTAGGTCACTCATTACCCACCAGAGAGCATGGACGTCGGTGCACATCTTGGTCACACTTCTGACCAAATTTCAGAAATCCTAAAGATGCCTGTTGAGTTTGTGTGTTCACAGATGTTAATGTTAACAAATGCAAATTTGTCAACATCACAATCCAGCATCTGTCTGGTTTTCATAAAGAACATTAGTGGAAACTGGGGAGAAATGGTTTAAAATTAAGTAAATAATAAAAATGAAGCATCCTTTTACCATTTCAGACAGAGAGAAGGGGAGAGAGGAGAGAGAGTATGGGATGGACAGAGAGAGGGAGAGAGAGAGAGAGAGAGAGAGAGAGAGAGAGAGATCAGTGGCTGTATAAAACCAGGAGTCAGACTTCAGCAGCTCTGAACTTGAGAGGAGACACTGAGAGCAGATTAAAGACCTGCTGATGTAAATATTCACATATTCAATATTTTTACGCTTAACACCGGATGGTGATGTGATTTTCCAAATTATTCTAGAAAACAGATTTGTGGATGATGACCAGGCCGACTTGTGCGCCATTTTATTCGGATTTCACGGATGTTTAAGTTGAAGAAATAGTATAAAATGCTGCGGGTGGGGTGACTAAGATGAGGAAGAGGAGGCAGAAGTGTGTCTTTATGGCAACACCTGTCGTCTGATTGTTGGATAGCTGCTCCTGCGCTTCTGCCGGAGATGGAGCCGCTTTCATTCTGCGTTTACAAAAGACGAGAAACGCGAGCGGTGGATGAATATCTGAGTGATTTCAGAGTGATTTCCAGGCTTTCCTTCGAGCTCAATGACAGGGGGATCTGAAGGGGGAAGGTGGAGGAATGGAGAGTGCCAGTCAGCTCAAACCTACGCCTGTCATCTACGGAGAGCTGTTGAACATCTCCACCAACTACACCCATGCTAATTTCACGACGAAGCCGGAGGTGAAGGGCACTAACCTGGCTTTCCAGGCGGGTCTAGGGGTGACCTTAGCGCTCATAACTTTCGCCACGACGCTTTCAAACGCATTCGTCATCGCCACCATTTACCAATCCAGAAAATTACACACCCCGGCAAACTTTCTGATCGCCTCTCTGGCGGTCACGGACCTTCTAGTGTCCATCTTGGTGATGCCCATCAGCGCGCTTTACACGGTGAGCCAGACCTGGACTCTGGGACAGGTCGTTTGTGACATCTGGCTCTCCTCGGATATAACGTGTTGCACCGCATCTATCCTGCACCTGTGCGTAATTGCGCTGGACCGCTACTGGGCCATCACGGACGCGGTGGAGTACGCCAAAAAGCGCACGCCAGGGCGCGCAGCCGGGATGATCGCCACCGCCTGGGTGATCGCCATCTCCATTTCCCTGCCGCCTTTCTTTTGGCGCCAGGTTAAGGCAGAAGAGGTGACGAGTTGCAACGTGAACACCGACCACATTTTTTACACAATCTACTCCACCTTCGGCGCTTTTTACATCCCCACGCTGCTGCTCATCGCCCTGTACGGGAGGATTTACGTGGAAGCCCGAAAACGCATCCTGAAGCAGTCGCACAATAAGCCGGGGAAGAGACTCACCTCGGCGCACCTAATCACCAACTCCCCCGGGTCGGTGGCGTCCACCACATCTCTAAACTACGGGACGAACGACACCTCATCCTGTGACACTACCTCGTCCGCAAACGTGAGCCAAGTCAAAGTCACTGTGTCCGACTCGCTGCTGGAGAAGAAGCGCATCTCCGCTGCCAGGGAGAGGAAGGCGACCAAAACTTTGGGGATAATCCTTGGAGCCTACATCATATGCTGGCTCCCGTTTTTCATTTACACTCTTCTAGTGCCTGTCTGCGAGTCCTGCTTCCACCCGGAGCTATTTGACATTTTCACCTGGTTGGGTTACCTCAACTCCTTAATCAACCCCATTATTTACACCATGTCCAACGAGGACTTCAAGCAGGCGTTCCACAAACTAATACGGTTTAGATGCTGCAGGGCATGAACGACAATTACCAGCTTCAATTCCCCCCCCCCCCCGCCCCCGCCTCAAACCCATCTCCAACCATCTGTATAATGCCAGAACTGAATCACGGCCACCATAGCCCACATCTCACTCCCCAGGATTTTCGAGAGGGCACCCTCATCAACACCCAGATTGTTTATGGTGACGTGGCTGCAGGGTGAGCTTCTACCAGATGGATGGTGCAGAGGACAGCTGCCATCCAGTCGGCACTATGGCACAGTGAAAGAGTGGCATTTTTTAACCAGTGGAATTAAAAATGCTGCTGGCGTACAGGACAAAATGTTATGATGTGGAGGCTCTGTGACTGGTTTTTACAATGACTTGGAGAAAGTCCATAGCCCCAGGCGCAGGGGCCCCACCTGTATGTGCTGCACTGGACTGTAGCCTACAGACTCACTTTGCCATACAAGTTTGACAGTCAACATCAGTTGGCTTCTAAGCACAAACAGCTTAGCACTTAGCTACCATGAGCCCCAAGGGCAAAAAATAAGATTTGTGTTTCATTTTCCTGAGTCAATAAGGGGAAATACTGGTGCCTACAACAAGTAGTTTAGCTCCTCTGATATACCTGGCCCAGATGGAGATGAAGGCATGATTTTAATTTGAGAAACAGATGAGATTTTGGTTCATTCTTGTGGCCAGTGTATGTGTTTTCTTTTCTTTTCTTGCTGTGGGTGAGATGTACTTTAATCAAGACTCCAAAACGAGTGTAAATGTATGAATCTGTGAGAATTCCTGTGATTTTTACCTTCATTTGCTAGAAGAGTCTGGATGTGGCCAGTGGAGGGTATCATACTGTAAAATAGTGTTAAATGTTCCATCCGGAATGAAGGAAGAGGCAGTACTGCAAAACCGATTGTATCTACTAGTGCAAGAAGTATTTTTAATTGTTAATATTCACTTTGATGTTCCATTTCATATCAGACCAAACAAATTCAGATCCAGCTCCAAATCTACAGCAAATCCTACTGCAGTGATTTCTTCGCTTTTGTTGTGGAAGATGCTAAATACATTAAATTTAAAGGTAGAAAATGTCATATTCTGATCAGCATCACCTTCTTCCCCCCATAAACCGTCAGATGTTAAATGTCAAGCTTTAGGCGCTGCTGATCCCTTAAGAGAAGATTTCTGGGGTTAAAAAAATGTAAAAGTCAAACAAAAATATCTGTTTGCTTGCAACCTGTCAGGAAAACAACCCGTAACAACGGCAAAGTACTGGTGATGACGCTATATGTGTCCAGGGCTTTAGTCGGGTGAATTTGGGTTTCACAGTTCACATAATGGCTGATTCAGCAGTTTTTTAGTTCTCATTCAAAAATTTGGCTAAAACCACATTGAATTAAAAGGGATTTAAATCTTAATAGGTCTGAATCTATATTCACACCAGTATGTAAGGTGGTAACAGGGACAAAATATTCACATTTTAAATAAATGTAGAAATATATAGGTCTTAAATATAGCTACTTCACTGTTTTCTTTGTTTCCATATTCTTTTATGTACTGTTTTTATTTAAATGGTTTCTTAGAGATGACGGCGCTGCACCGGACAAATATCATCTCAGTCTTATCCGAATCCAGGCTACAGCCCTGTGCACATCATGCAGTAACTTAGGGAATCTCACCAAGTCCATCCATCCATTTTCCTCCGCTTATCCGGGACCGGGTCGCGGGGGCAGCAGTCTAAGCAAAGATGCTCACCAAGTAATCTCCAAAATGTCCACCCGGTCTTATTCACTCTTAGGCAGTAGTTTTTTAGAACTACTCTTTTTCGCTCTCTTGCTCAGAGTTAGATGCAGGAAAGTGATACCACTCTCTTTTCTGTGGACTCCCAGTGGACAGTTTTTGCAAAAAGGATCAAAATCGATGCAGCAGAACCACATATGTCAAAATCTGGCACCTACATTACCTACAATGCATTTCGACTGCTGACAGTTCGGGTGGAGTGTGTTATGGTAGTACAGTAGCAAGTCATGTAGCCTGGAGCCTCAACCCTGCAGTGGAGGTGAGGAACAGCTACAGAGTCAGGTAAGTTCACTTGTTTCTAACTCCACACCGACAGATGTTTTCACTTTTCAGACTTGTAGTCCTCAGACCCAGCCCACGCTGACTCAAGTGACATCACCTGAGGACATTTATCAGACTTCACACAGCTGATCTGGAGACACTAAAGACTTCATAATTCTTTCTCACATATGCAGTAGTACTCTCCGACACTGTGGAATTCCTCTTTAAGTACTGAGCTGGAGTCAGGAAGTGATTAGCATAGCTTAGCATGCAGAGTTTAAACATACACCTATAAACACCATTAGAGTTCACTAACAAACACATACATCGTTTGTTTTATCAATATATAAAGACAAAAAAAATGAGAACTTGTAGTTTTACTAAAACTGTTTGCTGGGAAACAAGCAGACCAGTTTCATGTGAAAATATACAATAGCTACATTGGTCTACAGCAGAAAACATAGTAATGTCACAATGACAGCTCTAAAATTGTGACTTATCAAAGTTTTTTGCTGACAACTGATTGTGTCTGACGTTGTACTTTTCATTTACCCAGGGCCTTTCCCCAACCTTAACCGTCTAGTTTCTGTGCCTATACTTAACCATTTAACCATGTGACGTTAGCATGTCACAACTGTTGAGTCAGAAAATGTTGCAGTGTCACAATTGTGGAGGCACAACTGTGAGACTAGTACATTTTGTGATCCAGATCATCGTAGCTGTTGTACATTTTACTGTGAAACTGGGCTGCGTTTTTACATTTCAGTGTGTGTATGAATTAAACAAATGTGATATGTGCTAATTCGTGAATTTTGGACTTAACAGGGCCAGTTGTTTCCCCTTGCTTCCAGGCTTTATGCTAACCTAGGCTAACCACATCCTGATTATAGTTTCACATTTACAGCCTTGAGAGTGGTATCGGTCTTCTTCTCTGATGCTCAGCAAGAAAGCTAAAAGAGCATTTTTCAAAAAATGACAAACTGGCCTGAAGTGTGGAACATGAAAAACATGCATTTGTTTCCAAGATTAAAGAGAAAAAATGAATATTTGTCCCTAAAAAATGCAGAAAGCTGCCAAAAAAAATGGCTGCAGAGTTTCTTGCACCAGTAGAAGCAGAGTCTCGGGGGGAAAAAAAGTCCTGGTGTATGACAATAATTTCGCTCACTGCATCAAAGATGGCTGCCGGAGAGTCTGGCTCCCACCTTGTCATGTAACTCTGGATCTTTTTCGGCAGCCATGTTGGGCAGTGTGGCCATGCTGCAGTCATCCTGCTCTATTCCAGCTCTGTCGTGAGTAGCCTCTCTGTGTACAGTATTGATTTGCTCAGTGTGAAACTCATCTGGTGGCTCTGTCAGTCCAGTGGAAGTTGCATTTCATCCAGGTTAGCTTCTGCTGTACAATGCTTCTGCACACGTAGGTGATGCATTGTAACTGTTCTGCTCTGGAGGATGAAATCCAACTGACTGGGAGCACACAAACGCACTGCTGCTGTCGTGAAAACTGAAAAAATAAAATCAATCAATCAATAAAAAGGCCTATGATATCACTGAGTTATGATAGTTTTCCCACATGCTCTGAGTTTTCTAATTAAGTATCTGTTTTATTATGAAAAGCACTGTTAGTCACTATCAGAATCTGCTGTGGTATTTGGTTTTGGTGAAGATAAAACATTTCACAGATGTGAACTGATGGATGTGCTGTGTGATAGTATTAACGCTTTGTAACTTCATTAATCAGCAGGGACGAAATCTAACTACAAGGGAAATGTCACTGATGAATGTCTAATGAACAAAACGCCTGCTTCCTTTTTGCATCTTCTGCTGCATATCTGCACCACGAGGGGGTTTATACTGCATATTACTGTGCACATCTGAGCATACGTACAGTACAGTGAGGCCTTCAGTGTGGTGGTTTAGTACAGTTTTTTGTGCAGTGTTTTAAAAGCAAACGGATGTGCTCACAAACACTAAATGTGCAATTTAAAAACATGTTTCCAAAAGCTTGGTGTGCAGATTATTTTTTATGAGCGTGCTGCGAAATAGAGGGGCTGATCAGAGCCAGAAGATTTAAAGCTAATTTGCCGACAGTGAACAGTTTCAGAAGGACTGTGAAAAACGATAATTCTGTAAATGCTTTACTTGCTCTTTATGAAATCAAACTGAGAGTGTATCATTTTAAAGAACTCATATTTTAGTGTAGTAACTATAGTAAACCATTTATAATTGGTATTTAGTACTTTCCATACTGTATGCCCGTCATATGGGACTCTGCCTTCTTCAAACTCTCTGGGAGCTGCTATGTGAGAATGTTACGATGCAGAGCTGCAACAATTGGTCGGGTGTTTTTCTCAGTTTTATGTATCTCTAAATAGAAAATCTTTGGAATCTGAACTGTTGGCTGGACAGAAACAAGACATCTGAAGATGTCACCTCAGACTAGGAAGGCTTTTTTTTCTGGCAGACTAAATGTTTACTCTAGAAAATTATTGGCTGGCTGCTTAATCAGTATTGAAAATAATTGCTTATTGATGATGATAATTTGATAGGCTGGTGACCTGTCCAAGGTCTACCCCACCTCTTTCCCAGCATGCACTGGGAGAGGCTCCAGTTCCCTCAATCTAAAAGTGTTTTCTTTTAGCAGGATACAGTACATGCATATCAAAAACATGGTAATATTTCTGTGAGGTTTGTTATAAATCAGGTGACAACCCAGGCTGTGAAAAGTTATACTTTCAATGTGAATCCAGGGATGTTTAAAGGGTGGCATGAATTCTAAAATGAGTTATTTCCACTCTCCAGTTCATTGTTTGCTATCTTACACCAAAACATCACCAGCCAATTCAAGTGTTGTCACACATTCTGTGGCTACCATCGGTCATTATTGTGACTATAAATATGGTTGAGGATGAGCCTCCTGCACCTCCCAGTATTGATAGATATAGTAGCGATGTGCCCTCTAGTGGCTGTAGTCATTATGACATGGCAAAGAAAGGAATCGGGTGATGTATAGAGTGAGAAAGTCGAGGTTGGGGTGGATTGGTGGTGATGAGGATGTCAAACCGCAACACTTATGGAGGCCGAGTTTGTGCTGTGTTTATTCTCACAGTGACAGAGAGTTTTCTGAAGCCAGTCAGACTTTTAGCCGCCCAGAGCTCCTCCGTGGCTGTTTGACATGACTACCGATTTACAGACCGTACTTTGTCAACACAGGTTGGAGAAGCTGGAATAACATCAGGAGGGGTGTAGGCAGCAGAGGGTCATGGAGGGGGTGTAGCTGAGAGACACCACGTCCTGTCCCACTGTCACTGGGGTTAGTTAATGCACCTGTCAGCATGTTGATACCATCCGGTTCAGACTAGACAACAAATATCCTCCCATTAAGAAAAGCTCTTCTCAGGCTCTAATGACAAACCAAGAGCCAATGTCATCCTTTCCTTTTGTCAGAAATGAATATTGTTTGTTCCCGTTGAAATTGATCAGGCCGCTGTGGCCCCCTGTTTACTGTTTCCATGGTTTGATGCTCGGCTAAACCATGGCAACACGGGCTCTGCGGGAAACGTGTCACGCTGCAGAAGCCAAATAAACACATTGATGGAATACAGATGAAGACAGAGAGGTAATGTTTAAATTATCAGGGGATTTATTCTAAAGGAGACACTACGCACGTGTTTTTTCCATGCAGCAAATCGATGACTTTTACGGCACACACAGGCTGACTGTGAACATTCCTCCTGCTGTCGAGGAAAAACCTGGAAACACAAATCTACAAGCCACATTTGTGGTGTTGTCACATCTGATTTTTCAGTTTGCTCTGTAGAAAGAAAGCAGTGAAAGAGGGTGACTTTCAGGACAAGCACAAAGCCTGTTTGCGTTTCCACATGTAGGTGAGCTTTCTTTCACAGTAGTGATGTTAACCCGAGCCAGAAAATGTCCTCTTATCCTTACAAACAGCCTCCCCCTCTCTGCTTTATCTTCTTTTCCAGCTCATTGTCTGCAGAGCAGCAACAGATTCTTACCACTCGATGGTATCACACATTCCATCTTTTGCTCTCTGGAGTTTTGGCCTTGATGCACCTGTGACTATACTGAATGAAACAGCTCCTTCCTCTGCTGTTTCACTGTACTCGCTGCAGAAAACATCCATCTTATCAAGACGTTTTTGCCACGTGCTGAGCTCGAAGACCAATCTCGGCTTGAGGTTTAGTTAGAAGCCTCAGCAGCTTTTGAATGGATCTCAGTTAATCTGCCATTTAGTGATTCTAATATTTGCATAAAACACTGAAGAAGAAAGGCCAGTTTTATCACACTAGCAGGTGTAAAGTATAGTGCATGTATTGGAGCAGCTGTGTAAACATGGTTCTGAATCTGAGAGGTGGGTAAACAGCGGTGTGTGTGCTCACCTCCCACTACAGCTCTGGCTGCTGGTACAGTGTTTGTTTTCATAAGGGACGTGTCAAAATTAACAGAACAGGAACTGATCTCATGTTGCAAATTGTGTCTTAAACACCTCATCCAGCGGGGATAAGTCAAGAAACAAGCTGCTAATTAGTAGAATACAAACTCAGGCTGAAATGCACATGGATGCTTGAGGACATTTAAAGTCCTTGTGGCAGATGTGAGATGTATTCATTTGCTTTGGAAGAGAAACTGCCACAAGAAAAAAAGGAAATCTGCAGTTCACATAGAGGAAAACTGAGCCTCTGGTGCATTTGGTGCAAGTTCTCCAAATCTGATGGCAAATTGTTTATAGCATTTGTGTTGATTTGCATTTCTTTGCACCTATTGTTACTTGTTTTGGGCCCATTTTAAACTGCTCTGCATCTCTCTTTGTTCTGCTGTCTGTGGGGGCTTCCCTCTCTTTTTAGTCATTTTATGTCTCTTTGTAATTGTTTTGCATCTGTTTTTTTGTCATTTTGTGGGTTTTTGCAGTTTGTAGGCATTTGATTGACTTTCCGACAGATGGGTTAACAGTCCCCTCGCGGTTCTCCTGTCTAGGGGCCCCCGGGCTGAGGACAGTCTTTGAAGAGCCCGACTGAGGCTCCCTGAATCTTTCACACTTTAATGGCCATTTGACAAATCTTTCCTCTCACTTTTCACGTTTCCTTCTGCTCTGGGTTAAGAGTCTGAGAAAAGAGCCACCTGTGTTTACATTGCTCTGCTCTTACCTGCTGAAATGAGTCCATGTAAGTAACAAATTCACAACAGCAATAGATGGATGGAAGACTGGAAGAGGAGGAGAAAAAGTATATGTGATGCTGTGTAGGCGAGGTAAAAACATGCCACTACCTAACAAACAAATACACGATAAGTCTGAACAGAATCTGTTCAACACGACACTGCAGCATAAGAAACAACACAAACAAACAAAGATATGAGTTCACACACAGACAACGTGTTAGCGTGTGGGCGGGTGTGTGTGTTCAGTTAGAAACACTCCTCAGCATCAGTCAGCGCTCACTCATCTTCAGCATATGCCCTCCTGCTTGAATTTGCAGTTTTGTTTTGTGATGAACTGGTGATGAAAAGACTATCATGTTAAATCATTTAGTAAAAATGTACAGTATCAGCATCTACAGCACGTGAACGGCTCTAGGTGATTCAGATGTGCCAGTACTGAAGACAAGTCAATGTCAAATATCAGCAGAGCAGTGGAAAGATCCTCCATTAAAGTCCTGGATTCACAGCTGTACTGAGTAACTACTACATGTACTCAGGTACAGGTTTGAGGTATTTCACTAGAGTATTTCCATTTAATGCTGCTTCATATCCACTCACTACATTCAGAGGGGAACACTGTGCACACTCCACTACTGTTACACACCATGCTCCTGTTCCTTCTCTCTCTGCTGCCCTCTCACATACAGTAGCTGCGTCCACATCCCAGCTGAATGTGGTCGTTTTAACGTCTCCTCCTCTGCACATATGGCCTGTCGTCATCATTCGGCGTCGGCCCCTCACAGACCGGTAACAATAAACATGGAGGAGAGCGACGACAGCGACGGGGTCAGTGGAGAGACCAGGACGTTTCACATGTGGTGGACGTTTATGGAGAAACCATTAAATGGCAGTTATCAGTTGGTATCACGCCCATAATCCTGCCTCAGTAGGGGCAAACAGCCCGAGGGTGCATAACATTAATGTGTTGTAATTAGGCGACAATCTCAGGACGTTAAACAGGAGACAGCTGTTTGTCAGTGTTGTTCTCTGGTCCGTCATTATTTTAACCCAGACTACAGCACGTCTCTAAACATAAACCTGGTAGGTTCCACGTTCATTAGTGTAATCATGCTGACAAAGCACTGGTGCAACAGCCTACTGAGCCAACTAGGAGGTGGAGAAGGGCCCCACTAACCCACACCTATGGCCATAGTGTGAACCCTCATGGCGATGCTGTGTGGAAGGTCAGAGGAGCACTACAGGGTTCATCATCTGAGGACCAGGAACGTCTGTCTAAATGCAAAGACAACTTGCCTTCCTTTGAGCTACGTTTCTTTCACGGCCAAATAAAGATTAAACTGAGTTGGCTGAATTTACACGGCTAAACGTTTCTGGTCCTTCTGAGCAGTGAAACGTCCCGCCGGGTATTCATATCTGTTCTCACCTGTACCTTGAATGCACAGATACTGGAGATGATGCATTTGCCATTTCAGATTTCACCCTCCAGCAACATCTGTCTAAAAGTGCCTGAGCAGTGGTGACAGCTTTTCAACAGGGCCCTTTTCCACAGTGTCTCCAAAGCTCCGCTGCATTTCCACAGGTTGTGAATGTTTAACCACAACTTCAGAGATGTCACAGGTGCAAGGAGAGTTTAATTTTCAGCTAAAAATGAAGACCTTGCTGTAGCAGCAGTGGCAGCATGATAAATGGCTCTAATAGATCTTCCCATTGTAGGTCATTACTTCAGGTGACAGCAGAGTCATTAC